GTTATTAATATCGAGTAAATGCGAGAAGTAAACACAGAGTATTCTTAAATATTTTTATTGTGTATACGTATTGACTCTTATGTGCAGAATATGCAGAGTGCGGAGGAACTTTACTTGAAACATCTGCGAATAATCCATAGGCAGTGAGATTTTCATTCCTGCTAATGAAAAAAAACAAAGAAACAAAGTCAGCAGTTTTCTGTGTTTACAAAGTTCTCGTTGCTATCGTAGGATCAACCTTTTCAGAATTTATTAATAATAATTACATATTTTACAAAAAATAGTAACAAAATTGCATTGCAACTGCATTATGCTGCATATTAGACGGTATTGCGCAAGTGTGCTAATGTCTGATATCAACCCATTTCCTATTATGCCAAAAATCCATATAAAAGTAGCTTAAGGTCATTTTGCACATGCATTCTAGCAACGGCAGACTGTCTGCACGTGAAATTTGTTAAGTCATTAGCAATGAGTTATAACTGTTGAGCGGGTACATCTCAAACCGAATAATGAATTTTGATAAGATTATGATATTAAAGGGCAGCAAATGCAATAAAAAGGTTATGGTCCCTAAAACGATACGGCATTAGCCTTCGGGTCAATATTTGTGTGTCGATATGTTTCTTAAGACACACTTGCCCTGTAAAAACGTATAATTATTGTGAAATAAATATGTGCTATTTCTTTTTAGAGATATATCCCTGATCACAGTTTCTTGAGACATGTATTTAAAGATTTTTATCGTCAATTTTGATGGTTCTTCCCTGCTCCCGACCCTGCTGTCGACTGTAAGCACACACTTTAACGCCATCCTTATTAATTAACAGCTTAAACTTTATTTCATTAATACTGTGTGATTTCCAATCAAATGGGAAATTAAATCTCTGTATTTGCCCGTAGAAAAATTACAGTAATAACACTAAATATATGCATTGTTGAATCTGAAATATTTGAATAAAAATCATAAAAAGTACATTATCAGCAAAACAAAATGGCATAAACGATAAACAGACGTAAAAAAATAGACAAAATAAAAATCGATTTTTCATTCTAATTTGCTTATTCTGCAATACTCAGTACACTAAAAATCAATACTCGGTACATTTTCTTGTACTTTTTCGGCCTTTATCTTTTTTTACTTTCACGCATTCTGTCTGAAATTTGGACTAAGCATACTTGGATTATGAATAAAAAATGCTCGACTCAAATTTATTTATCTTGGTAATAAATATTATAATAATTTCTAATGGTAATATGATAATTTCTTACGATTCTACAGTATCGCGGTCACTATTTTCTAGTAAGCAGGCGGTCTTAGATTTAGCGTTTGTTAATTAATCATACAAATACCTGTAATACTTCTATGTCTTTTAGAGCTACAAAAATACCTCTATATATATAAAACCTATTGAGATTATTGAAATAGCAATTAGTTTGGAAAATATCGTCGCTGAACTTACCTTCGTCCCCCGTATAAAGTCGCGAAATGGGATGAAAGTCCTCATAATATCGAGCAATATCCGGGGTACGGTATACCGCAGTGATATATAACTCGGAAATATAAAGAAGGAAGCTGGTTATGTAGATAATTATGTTATACTTATCGCGGTCGAGGAGATTTGAGATAACAGAAATAGGTGTACAATGTTAGCATTTTACGAGGACATTTTCGCATGGCAAGCATAAAACATATCAAATTTTTATTCAGTTATTTTCTTTGTTATATGAAGTTTTATTGCTAAATATGTTTATTTCAAGTAAATCAATAACACATTTTGACAAACAACAGCAGCATTTTATTGTTTTGAATAAAGGCCTCCGCCCCGAAATACACATTATAATTAAAGCAGTTATGTATATATTTTAGCGGTGTCTACAATATGCATTTTTATCTATGACATGCTTTTTCATTTCTCTTTTTTACACTAGTCTTTCAGTAATATTGTTTAGTTTTTCCATCTTTTGAGATTTAATTCAATTGTAAAAAAAATACGATTTTGTTTTGAGTCCCGGTTGTGACATGCCGATTTTCCGTTTGATTGTATAGGAATTTTCAAATACACCTTATCATACCTGTAGTAAGAAATCTAGTTAATATTGTCAGATAATTAATTCCTAAAACTGAATCTCAAATGTTAATTTTTTTATCAAAGTCGGTTTTAAAGTCGGTGTTACACAAAAATATGAAGCAATTTAGTTGTGACGTCTAATAACATTGAGAGCGCTTGACGATTTTTAGTGAAATCGAAACAAGAAGGTATGTATGTATTTTGCCCCCCCCCCCCCGCTTCAAAGAAGAGGGGATATATTGTTTTTCAAATGTCGGTTTGCCGGTCTGTCTGTCTGTCTGTCCGTCGGTAACCAGGTGGTTTCCGCTGATTCTCTTTAATACTATTTATCACAAAGTTTACATATTTCACAAACTGATTGGTCATAACTAGTAGATGACCCATATTGATTTTTGGGTCACTAGGTCAAAGGTCAAGGTCACAGGGTCCTTAAATGCCATAATGATTTCCGCTCATTATCTTGGTTACTATTGATAACAAAGTCTTGATATTTCACATATTGATTGGTCATAACAAGTAAATGACCACTATTGATTTTGGGGTGGTCACTTAGTCTTAGGTCAATGTCACAGGGGCCTGGATCCGCTCATTATCTTGGTTACTATTTATCATAAAGTCTTCATATTTCACATATCGATTGGTCATATTTAGTAGAGGAACCCTATTGATTTTTGGGTCAAAGGTCAAGGTCACAGGGGCCTTTAATGGTGGTATGATTTCTGCTGATTATCTTGGTTACTTTTTATAAAAAAAGTCTTCATATTTCACATATTGAGAGGTTATAACTAGTAGATGACCCCTTTTGATTTTGGGGTTACCAGGTCAAAGATCAAAGTCCCATGGGCCATAATGTTAGAATGCTTTTTGCTCATTATCTTACTATTCATCACAAAATTTCCATATTTCACATATGGATTGGTCATAACTAGTAGATAACTCCAATTGATTTTTGGGTCACCAGGTCAAATGTCAAGGTCAAAGGGTCCTTGAAAGGTAGTATGGTTTCAGCTCATTATCTTGAAAGCTGATTATCACAAAGTCTTCATATTTCACATAGTGATTTGTCATAACTAGTAGATGCCACCTATTGCTTTCTGGTCACTAGTTTAAAGGCCAAGATCACAGGGACCTTAAATGTCAGGATGGTTTCCGCTTATTATTTTTTAAAACTATTTATCACAAAGTCTTCATATTTCACATACTGATTGGTCATAACTAGAAAGTGACCCTTATTGATTTTCGGGTCACTAGTTCAAATGTCATGGTCACAGGGCCCTTGAGTGGTATGGTTTATGCTCATTATCTTGAAAGCTATTTATCACAAAGTCTTCATATTTCAAATATTGATTGGTAATAACTTTTACATGACACCTATTGGTTTTTGGTCACTAGTTCAAAGGTCAGCGTTACAAGGACCTTAAATGTCAGACTGGTTTCTGCTCATTATCTTGAAAACTATCACAAAGTCTTCATTATTTTTCTTTTTTCCATAACTGAACACTTCCATGTACCCATTTATGGCAAGTTACTATAACAAAACAACCAATAATGTGAGTCAAGGGCTAGAAAGGGTGGCATATGTGTCGTTCGACATTTCGTTTTATAGATTTGTTTTGATGGTTTATATCTTCTACTTCACATTGAATAATCTAATCCACATTGAATAAAGATAACAGCAAAACAGACGAAACTTCCGTATGATATTGAAAATATATAGACAAATTCTGATCTGTTTATTTCAAAGATCTTAATTACATATATGAATCTGTGGTTTATAAACTGCATACTGTCTAGCCTCTAAATGTACAGTAGATAATTTCTATGAATGTACATGTACCACAGGAACTTGAAATTCTATCAATCAGAACGATAATTATTATATCCAAAAAAATATCCCCTATATAGTATAAATAGTGGGGTATACCTTTTGGGTATCGTAAATTTTGATAGAATTTCTAGTGGAATTTACATATTAAATGAGAAAATTATTTCATGTACAAGAAATAAACTTGAAATAATTATGCACACAAATATTTGAGTGTAATTAAATTTTCGTATTTGTATAATTGATTTTTAACGTTAACTTAAAGTCTTTATTTTGAAAAAAGGCTCTTCTCATTAGCAGTTTAATTCAAAAAGTTGAAAGACGAGACATATGTAATTGATGTCCGAAATGCTGTGCGTAGATATTATCTAATTATGCTATGTAATCGTTGAAGCCTTTTATAGAACAAATAGATTATATGCTTGCTGCTTATATGGGTTATTTATAACGGATAAATATTAGATATGAAATGACATAATTAAGTTTCACATTACCCTTTACACAGTACTACGATCAGATGATATAAGATAACGATAACATAGGGGCGTATCAAGTTATTAAGTGCAATATTAAAACGAAACAAGGCAAAGGTAAGCGTTTAACTTTAGTCTTCTTATTTATAAATTAATTTAGCATTCTATATCTGATTAATACAAAGACTGTACAAAATGGTCATATGTATTGAAAGTATCTGTCATAAAATCACTTTTACTAAAACTCACATTTGAATAAGAAAAACACCGATAAAATGTAACATGAGTTAAAAACAGTTGTTTATGATCTGTGTATACAGGTTCATAAAATTTATAAACAGGGAATTACCAAGTGTAATTTACAATAATTTTTATGTTAAAATACATGTACAAGGAATTAAAAATTACATTAAAATAAATATACAAGGAATTATCAAGTGCATATATTATATTAATGAATTTGTGAAAGTATTTTTTTCAAAATCACTAGACCCAAAGAAGGATCGTAGGTATTGTTGATATTGTTTACAACAGAATTGGAGAGAATAACATGTGTAAAGCACATGTGATTTAGAATATCTCTCAAACATGGACATGCATGGACACATTGTATATCTTTTTATGAAGATGCAGTTATTATATCTAAAGGGTTTTTGGTCTTTCATTACATTCGATAAAGAACTAAATATTGTACATTTCTGTTTATGCTTTCAATGTAAAATTAGCTTTGAATAGATAAAATAATTCTTTTATTCCAGAATGGCAGAAAGGAGCAATTTTCAATCGTTAAAAGACGGTTCTGAGGCAGATTATGAAGTCACGTGTACATCTTGCAGCAAAGACAATATTAGAGAAGAGGCTGACAAGTTTTGTCCTGAGTGTCAAGAATATTTGTGTAAAACATGTACAAGATACCATAGCCGACTTAATGCTACACAGCAACATAAACTGCTGGATAAAAACGATGCCAATCGAGGTTTACATACTGCTAGGACTAAATGTCAATACCATACTGACCGAGACATAGAAATGTACTGCAAAACGCATGATATGGTTTATTGTACGTTATGCATTGCAACAGAACATAGGTAAATGTTGAACTAAACATAATTATTTAACATTTTAATTAGTCTTATGTTAATTTTTGGCTGATTATATTTCTATTATTAATATCATGAAAGTTTGCCTTTAATTTTAGATATGTGAATCAAATCAAATATAGTCTGTACTTTTAGCAGATTATGTTTCAACTGCTGTAGTAAATAATATCGGATTATGCATCCAGGTTGAATATATATATTCCATGATAATTTCGAATCATAAATAATCTCCGACCTTATTTTATATTGTAGGTCTTGTGATGGAGTGAACAAGATTGAAGATGTGTCCAAACAATGCGTAACCCAAATGGAGATTCAAGCCCTATCAGATGAGATAAAGAATGCACATGACACTGTGGAATCCCTGACAGTAAAACAGAATTTAGCTGAAATAGACAAAAAGAAAGAAGCTATTGAAGAAACACTAAATGATACAGAGACAGAACTTATAGAACATATTAGAAAATTAAAAAGAGAGGCGGCAAAATGTTTAAATGATAAATATTCTACATTGAAGGAGGAACTCGTGTCTGCTATAGGTGTATCAGTTCGAACAGCTGAAGGCTTGAAGCAAACTACGGAACAACTGCAAATGATTGACAGTCTGAACTTAGAGCTGCAATTTGTGAGGATGAAGTTGATGAAGAAGACTGTCGAAGATGCACAAATTTTTAATGCAGACAATGCGGAAGAAGATATAAAATTTGTTGATTTTATGTTAAATAGGGATTTAACAGACAACTTCACAAAAGTAAAGTCATTAGGTGATGTAACAGCAGGAATTGTCGGTAAACAGTACACACTAAAGTCAATTAAAACTATCTATGTGAAGCTGGAAAATGACAAACAAGAATGTTACATATCTGATATCTGCAGACTTCCTGATAGTACGATCCTTCTGGCTGATTATAACAATTATAAAGTGAAAAAACTCAACAATGATGATAGTGTTGAAAACGTCCATGTTTTTGACTCTTACCCTACAGGTATATGTTGTGTTATTAACAGTGAAGTGGCTGTGAAATTATTTAACAATAGAATACAACTCTTTACCGTTGGCTCACCTCTGTCCAAAGGAAGGACTATAAATATTAAAAATGGTTATCAGTTTGGATTAACAATGTTTTGTGGTGATCTATGGTCATCAATCTCAAATGGTATTAACGTATACAGTACTTCATCTAATCGTGTATTTTCTATCGTCGAAAATCAATACGGAAAGTCTAAATTAAAATCCTCTATTCAGCAGATGACTTCCACTCCCGAAACAGTGATCGTGACAGATAGCTCTGATGGAGCTGTTTGCCTCAACAAAGATGGTACGGTTATGAGAGAGCTAAGAGATAGTAGATTGAAGAATACCGAAGGTGTATGTGTAGCTGATGATGGAACGGTATTTCTATGTGGATATCAGTCACACAACATCGTTATGTTCAACAAGGATGGTAATTGTCTTGGAGAACTGCTCGGGAAAGATTCTGGCTTGTTATCACCAACAAGTATGAGCTTCGATGGGACAAAAAATAGGTTAATTGTTGGATGTTACATCAATAACTCCTTATTTGTAATTGATTTGCTTGTTAGATAAATCACAAGACTTCTAAATGGTAAATTCCGTAGAAGAAATTTCTGCTGGATTGAGATGTTTTTCAGTTTTTAAGGAATAAATCTTCTGAATTGATTGACTATAGATGCAAAAAAGTATTAATCCTGTATAGTACTTTGTTTATATGGATTTTCTAAAACAAATGAATAACGCATGTCATAAAATCAATTTCTAAATAATTTAAAATGCTTTTTACATACAATTTTTTAAAATTCTTTTGATGCGCATGCATTAGTACTAAACGCTGTTTAAACAAATAGAAAATATACTTCTAAAAAAGTGTTTAAACCTTTGTAAAATATTCTTTGTAACACTACAATGTTATTCATAGAATGCTTGTCAATTATATATAATATGATAGAAAGCTTGTTTAAATTATGTGGTCTGTTTCAATTAAATTAAAAAATTAGAACTCTGTAATGGATAGATGCATTATATTTAAAGGTGAGGGAAAACGAACATTTATTTTTCTTAAACGTTTTTGGCTTTAAATTAACATGTATCAAATTTCACAAGTGCATATGCTGATTGATTTTTTTGATGAATGTAAGGAAATTTTAGATGTTAAAATAGATGGTTAAGTTAATATGTTCAGAATGTCGGAACATTACTGTAGAGAGGGATTTTTCATATCATTAATACTAGTAGTCACGAAAGGAAAACATTAATTTTGTATACATTTTGTAAAATTCACAAATGTAACTTACATGCTATAGACTTAGTTGCCATTTTCTAAATTCCAAGAAAAATATTTTTACCTACTCGTAAGTATCCAACAAGAATAACAATTTTTGTAATGATTGAAACCATACCATTTTCCCATGAAAAGAATGCCAATTAAGGTATGAAATATCATAAGTAAAAAGTGTTCATGCCTATGAATTATGAAGTACTGATTATATGTTATCTGAATCGTATGACTATATGTTGAATAAAATGTATGTATGTATGTATTTATGTATGCATGCGTGCGAACGTGCACGCACGCACGTACTTACGTACGTACTTACGTATGTATGTAATCATCTATGTAATGTAAAATATCTTCATTAAATAATAAAAATGATATTTTTGCAATCAAAATGAGTTGATATTTCCTCAATATAGAAAACAAGGTTACAACATATTTTTCCTATGCAAGTTAATATAAATCATGACCCTATCCCTTTAGGGCGTGGAACATTTGACCTTCGGGGTAAGATTTAGATACATGTACATTTTGTTGTGTTCCACAAGGCAATACCACATGCCAAATATATAAGCTTTAGACATTTAAGTTTGAGAAAATAATGCTTAAAAGTATGGTTTTCCTATATAAGTGAAGATTTTCCCTTGACCGACACATGCAACAGACCGGAACAAATTGAAAAACTTTGAAAGAGGACCACCGAAGGATCATTGATGTGAAGTTTGGTTGAAGGAGATGTAGTTTTAAGAAAAAATAAGACATTCATTTGTTTCAGCCATGTTCCGTGCAAACTATTTCTTTGCAAAATTAAAGTTGAAAAAAAAAGGCAAAATTTTAATGGTCTGAACCCAATTTAAACCCCGCCCGTATTTAAACATGTAGCATCTGTGTCCTAAAAATAATTTCAATTCATTGACTCTATAAAGAGTAAAGCATCTGGAAGCAAAATATATTTTTGCTCAATTGAAGTTGAAAATGATCCATGCCATTACTATGTAAAAATGAAGTGGCGTTAACCCATATTTCATCTTGAATTGTATGTATTTCGTAATGTTTCAACAAACTGCCAAAAATAATTTCCATGAATTGACTCCTTTAATAAATATCATCTAAATTAAAAGGGGCATAACTCTGTAAATATTTAGTAGTCTGAACCAAAATTCGAACATGACGTGTATTTTAAAATGTTACACATGTATATTAGAATTTGTTAACTTCAAAAGTTATCGTCTTGACACTATTTTTACATAACTCTGGGGTCTGAACGAAATCATTTTAAGTTAACAGGAATGATCAGTACCAAGTCTAGTTGTGCATATCGTCAGCATTTTCTGGTTCAATGATTTTTGTTAGAGTTATGGCCCTTTGATAATTTTTATTTTTAAAGTTTAACCCGACTACTTCTCTTATACCACTAATGCAATTTTAATGAAACTCTACAGGATTAATCTGTAGGTCGAGGACTTGTGCATAATACACAAGGTTTTTGCTTTAATGATTTTGGTGAGTTATTGCCCTTGAATAAAAAGGGCATTTCTTATGTTGCAAGCAAAATAGAAGTTTGTCTGGACTACTCTGTTCAATTTTATCATCATTTTAGAGGAATAATCAATACCATGTCTAGTTATGCATCCCATCAACATTTTTCGGTTCATTGAGTTGTTGCCCTTTCATGATTTTAATCTTGAAATGTGTCCGTACTACTCCTGTTATACCACTTATGCAATTTCAATGAAACTTTACAGGATTGATCGATAGCTCAAATTCTTGTGCATATTGAACAGGTTTTTTAGGTTGAATGATTTTTTGCCAAGTAATGGCTATCATCTTGCGACACATGTCATGACTGTTGACCCTTGTTTATGTTGTTAAAAAAACCAACCTGTACACAATTGTCTTGATGATATTGCGTCACTGTTTATACACGTGCTTTAAAGCGTATTAAACACTCCCAATTTATATTCCTTTTTTATTTCACGTGACGATACAAAACGGATATCTGATTATCAGTTCTGTTACATTACTTTTGTAAAGTTGAATTAAATATTTTGAGCTTCAATACAATATAAATATGTCGAAACAATAGGTGAACACAACTTACACGCAACTCTTTTTTATCAATATCGTATACCTTAAAAATGCAAAGAAACACTGAATATCATTTTGAGTCTTTGCCAGTTTAAGTTATTATGTCGTGGCCACGAGTAACTAAGCCAGGTCACGAGATCATATGTTATGCGCACGAGATAATTAACAAATCAGATTACAATGTCCATATGAATTTTCCTAGTTTACTAAAAATGTGCTATAGGACAAGAATGCCCATACTTCACTTACTTTATACAAGTTATTGATTGGACAATAATTTTACTTTTAGCGTCATTGTGACCCTGATATTTGACCCAATTAACTCAAAATTATTAGGTGTCATCTACTGATCAGGTGCAATGATCTTTATAGGTTATATAAACCATGGCTTATTCCTTCTAATGTATTCATCAGACAAGGATTTTACATGAAGTGTCATGGTAGCCTTGACCTCAAACATCATTATTGGCTATCTACTGGCCACTGTCTTTATCAAATAAAATAAACCAGGACTTATTCCTTCTCAAGTTATCGTATTAACAAGGTTAGCAGGCCGTTGTACGTACACACTGACCAATTCTATTGCAGAATTGTCCCCACAAAGGGCCATAACTTTGTCAAAATTAATGTCTGATTTATGGGTCTTGGAAAGTGTCTTTCTAATATGATCCTTAAGATACGCGTCAAGATAAAAGGGATTATCTTCAGTGTTTTCAAAGGTTAATGATGCATGTAAAACTTTAAAAAGGACTTTTCTTATCTCTTTTTATAAATATAGTGTAATGTGATTGGTTAGTTATCCCGTGAGCACGACTTATTTATCTCGTTCCACGACTTAAAAACTCGTGGCCACGACTGAGTAACTCGTGGCCACGACATAGTATCTCGTGCTTTCCACTTAATTATCTCGTGGCCACGTCTTAGTAACTCATGGCCACGACATAGTTACTCGTGCGCACCACTTAATCATCTCGTGGCCACAACTTAGTAACTCGTGGCCACGACAAAGTATCTCGTGACCATGACTTAGTAACTCGTAGTCACGACATAGTATATCGTGCGCACCACTTAGTTAACTCGTGGCCACGACTCAGTAACTCGTAGCAATGACATAGGATCTCATGCGCACGAGATGAATAAAATCGCACAAATGTCACCTTTGTATCACCGTACAAATACGACCCTGCGGAAAGAAAATTTGACTGTTTATTGTTTAAAAATGTGAATCGGAATGATGTTGATGACTTAATGACATTTGAGTTACATTATTTAAATATGGCCAATGAATCAGCCTATGAAGTTTTGAAATGCAGTCTAGCATTTCGATTCTCTGGTTAAAATAAGTCATATAACATGATATAAAAAAATGTCCGGAATTGTTAAGTCATCACCCAATATCTCGAAAATGCGTTTTACATATGTATTGCCGAAACCTACGAAAATACTGTACGTTTCGATTACCTATATAAGTTTGCTACCTTCTTATTGAATCCCAAGGATTGTCTATTTACAAGTAAATTCAAAACTGGCACAAATGATACAAAAGGCACTTTGTCATCAGGATTTAGTTTGAGCAATTTTTAAGCGTAGGGAAAATTAAGTAGATTTAGCGAAATAAATGTACGTTCAATTTATCTGTATGTAATACAAGAATGTAGGGGTAAATATTAATTAATTATGCTATGTAATCTTTGAACAAACAAAATGTATGCTTGCTACTTATTGAGGAAGTATTAAGTAAAAAATAAAATACTTTAGTGTCTCATTACCCTTTACAACGTATCACGATCAGGTGATTTCATATAACGATAACATAAAAAAGAGTGTGCATGTTACTAAGTCAAAACGAAAGAAGGCAAAGGTAAGCGTTTATCTTTAGTCTGCTTAATTTATAAATAAATAATGTTTTTTATATAGAAAACTGTACAAAATGGCAAAATGAATTGAAATTATCTGTCAAGATAAGTTAAAGATCCTGTATGTTTTTTGATTGATATTTTTACTGTATGAATACCACAATAGCAAAAAATTATATATGTACATATTTATGCTAATGAAACAATTTTCAAACATCGAAGAATATGTAAAATGTGTACTGCAAATATTTGAGAACATTATATTTAATCAATAAATTACAGGCATTTATTTCTTATTGGAAAATTTGACTTAGAATTTATAGAAAATAAATTTCTAATTACCTCCCTTTATTTACATGAAATGTTAAATTGGGTAATATCTTTATAAATAATGCATATTGGAACTTACAATATTGACAAATATTAATTTGAGCATCATATTTATGAAATAAAACCATGAAAAAAATGTGTTACAGGATCTTTAATTAACTAAAACTCTCACACTAAGAACAACAGAGATAAAAAGTAACCTGAGAAAGGCTGAGATAAAAAAAAAGTAAAACGTTGTTTATGATCTGTATATACCCTTTTAATCAAGATGTAGTGAATGATTCTGATATTGCACCATCTTTGTGTTTCCCTGCCAGAACAGTTGAAAAGCAATGCATGTCTTCTCCACCAGAAAAAGCCTCTAGTAAAGAGAATTCTGGTTCTTCTGTAAAATTCCTTGAATGCAGCGGTGGTGAAGTTTTGAAAAATGTTCAAACAGCTAAAATTAGAAACACATTAAGCAAAGTTGTTGGTGACAAAGCTATAACAAATGAAGATGTTAGTGAAAAAATAAAAGATCACATTGAAAAGCAGACAAGCTCCAAAAAAAGAAAATTCAAGTAAAGGTACATGAAACACAAAACATACCTGAAAAACAAAACAAAGGACAGTCAAAATTTAACAGTTCAAAAGGCAAACAACCAAAAGTTAAATCAAAGCAACCTAAACTTGAACTTTCTGAAGATGTCTCTGATGAAGATTCTGAAACAGAAGAAGAAAAATGCAGTGTTTGTGGAAAATTTTTCCCAGACAAACAGATTTGTGATGAAATTAGAATTGTTCAGTGGGGTCAATGTGACAAATGTGACCTATGGGTTCACCTCAAATTCTGCTCCCCAGTGAAAGTGTTGCGCAGAGGTGACAGTTTTCTCTGTCCAACCTGTAGCCAGTCATAAATTAAAACAAACAAAAAACAATTTGTGAATATATGTTATCAGTTTAAACAGTTTGAAATGTTCCAGTTAAATACTTTCTTGTCAGT